CGAACACGCTGCAATGATCTACCACGGCAGGACTGACGGTCAAACCTTTGAAGCTGTTCAATATGGGAAGGGACAAATTGTAGCCCAGGCCATTTATTTCCAATCAGCTGCCAACGCCACGAATAATCATCATCGACAGCATCACATCAGTGTTCAACACTGATGCTTCACTGCCGTACAACCATGATGTATTTGAAAGCCTTATTGTAAAGAAAAGAGTAAAGGTGGATGGGGAGGGGACTTAGTGCTAGCTTACCACAATCATTCCGAGGTGCCTATACCTCCAGTTTCTCACTCAGGTGATCTGGATAGAAACTGACAACAAGAACACCACTGACATCCGTTGGCAGCCATATTTTTCAGCGTCTCCAACCAGGCGCAGTAAGAATCACACGATCCCCGTCCTGGAAGGCGAGTAGCAACAACAGCACCCTCCCCCCGCCAGGTCAAGGGTCGGCCACCTCTCTGTTTTTCTCTTCAGACAGACACAGGAAGTTAAGATTGTTGAGGTAATGCCTTGAACTTCGCTGACAAGAGTTTACCCCCAAAAATCCAATCAGAGTAGGCTAGGCGGATGGAACATGGTCAAAGAACGCGACAATATCAGCTATATAGTCCAAGCTTACTAGTCTTTCCTTAGAGATTTGATTTCGGTACCAAGATCCTTGCAGTCTTGAGATGTACATTCCATGGTGATATCAATGATTTAATAGCTTTTGGTTTGTTCGCTGAGCTGGGCTGTGAACGTTTCACTATCAGCTGGGATGACACCATCAGTGCGTTTTTGGGGAGCGTAGCTATCGAGGATCTCCAGAGTGTTGGGTTACTAGTACAGATTTTTTGGAGGTTCGGTGCATCAATTCTTGGTTTTCTCGGTGCATAGAGTTCACCTGTGATGGGAGTCAAATTAGTGACTGTGTCCACATCTAACCCCCCTTCTGTCATCGGCTCATGAGCCTCGATGGGGATCTTAAATCGACAAACTCCCAATTTCCAAAGTTCCATGTTTATGGGAATTCTTGAAAACGGTAAAAACAACATGAAGCTGTTCACTGTAATTGACGCTAAGTCAGCGATCATGTTTTTCTTTCAAGAGTTTGCGCAAAGTGCCACGAAAACTAGTGTTCATTCGATGGCTACGACTATCTGACGAGCCCCAACGAAACCAGTGAAGGGTTTTCAGCAACCTTAAAAGTAGTTAGTTTTGTCAAGAAAAATGTTCTTTTACTTTATTACACTCATTTCAGGTCCGCACATGTGAGGACACAAACCAGTAGGAGAGGACTAGTCAATAAAGTTTCATTTTTCATCTACAAGTTGAATAATAATGAGATGCAGGTGAGACCGTAAACAACAGACCTCACACGTGAAAAGTGATCGATCGAAATAAGTTATAGAAAAAAGGATGTTAGTACTACTGGCCGCCTGAAGGCGGAACACTCAAGTAGCAATCGATCGTTCAAACATACAACCTAATGGAACTGGATGAATTCACGGAGCTTTGAATAGAAAAGGCGTGTGTGTCAGCTTAAAAGAGGGATGAGTAACTGATGCTCCGAAACGGTTTTGTGGGCTTCAAACAACAGCTGATTCGCAGTAATTACCCATCTAAATATAGATACCTCCATTTGGGTGTAAGCGAAAGTTTCGGGTTCCCAAGGGTCCATAGTTATGTCACATGCCTGGTAAAAGCAACGCACTTTACTTGCGCATATACCACAAAGGATGTTCTTCTCACTGCGTTCTCGTGGTGATTTCTTGATACCGGTTGGTGGACGACTCAACTGGGCCAAGTGAAGTGCGTCCCTTCGACAAAAAGGGGCTACCGCCCGACCTCCTGTTACCTGATATCGCTTTTTTTAACAGAACATGAGACCTATAGATCAAAAACAAAAAATCAGTTTTACACGTAAAAACAGCATATAGAAAAGGAGAGGAATCTCACAATGGTGAAACAATTTACAGTAGACAAACTGAATCGAGAGCGAGACAGCGGACCCCATCTGTTCATTTTCAGTGCGCATTTTCGGTGGTTTGTGGCGGAGCTATTCATGTGGTAAGTGTATCACATCACATAATCGTTACGTTTTAACCAATTGATATAAGTTGCACTTCGCGCACTACCCGTTTCAAAGTAGACCTTTTCCAGTCAAGATGCGCGGTGGCACCGCGCGGACGTGTGATCAGAGTGCATGTATGTTCCACTCATCACTATCGACAGAATGACACCAGTGTTCAACACCGATGCTTCGCTGCCGTATGTATGTTTCACGGTAGTTGGTAGACAGAAATCGATCTAGGTGGCATGCTGACGTGCCGATGGGCCAGGCGAAAATTGCGTTGCCAAGAAACGAACGATTTGTGGTTAGCATAGAACTGAGGCTGATGCTCGCCGCTGTCAGTGCATCCCAACTGGAATCCAAGGCGACTGTTCAAATGGGCCTCTCTAGCGTTAATTCCACTCATCACCTGTTCATGTCACCTCCTACGATCTATAAGTTGCTTAGATGAGGAATGATTTCACAAGATGTATGAAACTTCCATCTGAGAAGTCTTCACCCGAGGGGCCAGTCGATACGTGACTAGGTGATGTGGTTCCCATGGGTGGAGGATACGTGGTGATTTATCCTAATTGAGATCCGCTGGTGACCAACCGGTTAAGTCTTTAAACTATTAGCCAGGGTCGAGGGTTAGAAACCAGCTGGCATCATCATCATCATCGACAGCATGACACCAGTCTTCAACACTGATGCTTCACTGTCGTACAACCATAATGTATTTGAAGGCCTTACCGTAAAGAAAAGAGTAAAGGTGGACGGGGAAGGGACTTAGCGCTAGCTCGCCACAATCATTCCGTGGTGCTTACACCTCCTGACGTTCACTCAGACAATCCGGATAGAAACTGACAACAAGAACGCTGCCAACTGACATCGGTTGGCAGCCATATCTTGTAGTGTTTCCAACCATGCACAGTGAGGATCACGCGGTCCCCACCCTGAAAGGCGAGTGGCACCGACAGCGCCCAAGCGTTTCGTGATCTCCTTCATACTCCTCTGCCAAGTCAGGGGTTGGCCACCTTTCTGTTTACGCCACTCCGAACTGGGCATGAAAAACAGCACTCTCTTCGGCAAACGATGGTTCGGCATACGTAACACATGTCCCAACCAACGCAGCTTCTGGTGCTGGACACATTCTTCAATGGAAGTA